GTGTGGGCAGCGGACAGGGCTGTCAGCTGCCCACGCACTCCAAGGCTTGGCTCTGCTTTGCCCCCCTCCCCCATCCCCCTGGTCTGCAGACCTGGAGGACGGGGGGGCAAAGCAGAGCAAAGCCGCAGAGCACGCGGGCAGCGGACAGCCCAGACGCGTCATTTTCCGAAAAAGGGATTCAATCTAGACGTAGCCATTGAGTTCAGCATTGACATAGAATTCCGGGTTGTCCTCAGTAGCTATGTTCTATAAAGTACCTACATCAGCATATGTACTAGAAGTGTGCTGTATTGGCTTAATGCATACTCTGTATTTTAACTTTAATTGCAGAGGAAGAATGTTTTCTTGACAGAAACAGGAGAACAATCCCTATTGTTTGTCATTGTGCTTTGTGGGATTGTTTGTCATTGTGCTTATTCTCCGGCTAATTTCCAGAAAAAAGCCAAATAGAGAATATGAACACATCTGAATTGCTCACATTCTTCAAAATGTGCATAGCAAGTTTAGAGGCCTTGGGAATCTTGGGGTTCCAGTTGTCAAACCTGTAGTCAAAAAGCTACATTTTTAAATGGGATAAGGCCATGCATTTAAAGCTAGCATGCACTTGTGCACATATTAATATGGTCAAGAGGTAACTCTTAAGATCTACTGTGTGCCTGAAAAAGAGTGATGAGTACTTAGAGGATGGAACAAGTGATCAATGGATGAATCCAGGGCTATGGATCAATTAGAGTCTAAGCAGACGGTCACGTATTAGGCATGCAAAGACTAAGATCTAATTCTATATTCTCACAGGACTAAATCTATATTCACATGAGATTCTGTAGAACCAGTGCTCAGGCAAGGATTATTATAGGAAGCCTTGTGCCCTGGGATGAGTATCATCATGGCTGGACAACTTCCCTCCACAACGATGTGTACATTCAGCCTAAGAGAGCTAGGGTTATACTAGTCTCTGCTCTTTTTTCTACTAATTCCATTGGCGACACGGAGTGGTAGGTCCCGTGATCAGAAGGTGACATACATAATAGTGCTATAGACAGAATAGTTACAGTGATTGCTACAAAACTCAACATTTGCTTGCAGAGATGATGATGATGATATTGTGCTTTCTCCTAGTCTAAGTATAGAAAGCATCTAGGTTATTAAAAACACACCATCAATGAACAGTTGATATTAAATGGTGTCAACTGCAGAGGGCTCACAAAAGTTTATAAGTAGGATTGCCAATGCTGACCAACTATGCTGGGAGATTTTTTCCCCCTCCAACATGATGTAATGTCATTTTCTTAAAATATCCTTGGCCCATCTGATTAGCAGAGCGCCCTCAGCACCCACAACTGGCAGCATGTGTTTCTCTGGTGATGTACGTCCGCACATGCCTTGGTGCACATAACAAAATTTATTCCACACACGGATGGAAAAAATTAGCTGTCTATGACATAATTTTGTTTTTTGCATTTCCCCCCCCCCACACACACATATTTTTAAAAGTTCTTAAATCTAGCAAGTTCAACATAGATTTTAGTTGCCATTTGTTTTAATATACATACATATTCTAACAAATGCTGATGTGGGCTCATAGGATCATAGTTGGTCTCCAAATTCAGATCTGAACTTCCCAAAAGAATGGGTTTATTCAGACCTGGCATTTCAGTATGGCCCCATCTCTGGTGGTAACAGATAGAGAAGGCCTATTAGCTCACAGAGTCTGTCTCCCTTAAGATATAGCCTGCTAATCAAAATGATGTTATATTGGATCTCAGTCAAAAGGGTAGAAGGCAGTGAACTTTATTTAAAAGAATTTCCCTCAGTGGTCACAGAACCTTTATAAAAAAGTTACATACTGTTTGTTCTGTATGCAGATGATGAACAAAAAATCCCCACTGAAAGTTGGTTCTATAAAG